ATTTGGTAAGCAGTGGCCCCTTTCAGAGGGGAAAACATTTAAATCTTAAAAAGTGATCCTTTTTGGGGGGGTGTCCAAATAGTATTTAGCAATTCAGTTTAATTTCTCCTTCTTCTTCTTTGTCCAAGATATGTTTCATTTCTTTCAAGGTTCTCTTTCATTTAAAAATCTGATTTTCCTCTTTTACATGTTCAGAATCTTTTCACTTAGAACCTTATTGTCTCCTATAAACAGACACCTACATGTGTCACTTTAATCATAACAGAAATGCAAATCTTTAGTGTCAGTTAAAAAAAAAAGGAACATGGGTCTTACACTTCTACTCTTATATTGAAAATACTAGGAAAAATCAAAGTATAACACTTTTAAGTATTGTTGCATCATGGAAAAAAACAATAGTCCAACTCTGAAATGTTATTGAGGTTTATGTATTGCCTAGATGATCTAAAGGCATCCTTTAGATACTATTTTTCCACTGGTATTTTACCCAAAAATATCAACAAAGCCAATATATATCAATTTTATAGCAAAGGAGTAGCTCTGAAGCCAAACATAAGAGTAACCAAACCATTTAAAGTAAATAATAGGCTTTGATTCTTAAAAAGTTAAAATTTAGATTATACACAATTTAAATTTCAGAATTATCTAACTAAACTTTTCAACAATTAAGGATATCTAACAATAATATTAATCATGATCGATTCTGTTTGTTTTTTTAAGAAAATGATGACATTTACATGAAAAGGTGGTTAAAATTTGATGCCTATTTAAATACGGACAAATCTAAACTATGTGGTAAATAAAAACTCTTCACCTATACCAATTTCCACTATTGAAAATATTTAAAGAAACCTGTATTTCTGAAAATTTCTGTTAATCATTACTTAGATATTTTAGTTGAGTTGTACTTATAAAATAAAGTCTTGTTTTACTGTGAAGAATAAAGCTCAGACTGCAATAAGTTTTTAAACACTAATATTGTACATCAATGAATATTTATTATGGGCCTACTGTACTTAAGACACTTGCTAGGTGGTATGGTGGGTAAAAATATCATCAAGTAAGATTAACACACTTCATTAAGTGGAATTTCCCAAAAGCTATTAACAAAATATCAATTTAAAACAATGAATACCTTTTAATGAAATTTCTATTAGTACTCCATAATATACCTGTCATGTGTGGGTTTGTATCTATAAAGACATAGTACTCACTTATTGTGAGACAACAAAAGTAGCTGCAGAAATACCTCAATATTTTAATCATACTAGCATAAATATATGGTGACTTTTCACATAAATGGTCAGAAACCTTGGGTACCCAATAAGCAAAACAATTTTATTCCAAGATTCTTTTATGTAAAGGAGGATATACCTGAATGTACAGATCATAAAAAACTGCCTTTTTGTGTTACTCATCTAATTTATCTGGAGACAAGATTATAGTTTCTGATGAGGTTTAATAGATGAATGAATTGTAGTAATTGCCTTTGTTTTTAAAAAAACCCTTAGTATCAGTGCCAATACAGAATTTTAAACACTTTGTGGAAGTCAAGAACCTGAGTTAAGAAAAGTGTATTTAGTGTTAACATTATAAAAATATGCCTCAATTTCTATACCTCATTATAGAAATGTGCCTCAATGTGTGTGTGTGTGTGTATATATATATATATATATATATATACACACACTAAACTTGTTAAAAAACAAATATAAGCAATGCTAACCTGTGAACTATATTTGGGTTTAAATATATCTTTCATAATATGTATGTAAATATTATGGAAAAGCAAATCCAGAAATTTGGTGCCTAGTTTCAGAAATAAAGGACATTGTAAGAAGATATATACTCATAGAGAAAAAAAAAATACAGTTCCACATATAGTATGGTTAGAGGTTCCATCATAAAATACTTTGAGCTTTTTGATGGTTTACCTCAGATAGAGAAATAGATGAGCCAGTACTGAGTTAGCTGATGTTATGTGAAGAATACTGGAGATGACAGGCTTTTGTTTTATTTTACAGGTACTAGATATACTTTTTTAAAATGTATTTTGAGAACGTAGAATCAGATTTAAAGGGTAACATTATTTTGAGACCGAAAATGTCCTTTTTTTATTAATTTATTCTGTAAGTCACCTGGACTTTTTTTTTTTTTACATTACCATGTATTTTTAAAAACCTACTTGAACTACAACAATTGTGGCAATTTTATTACATAGTTTTAAATCCATTCTGAGGTAGAAGAATTAGTATACTTAGCCAATTGTCTTGTGCAGGGTCTGGCACAAATAACGCCCATTTTTTATTACAAACTTTTATTACAAAATCATAAGCATGTAATTCTGCAATGTAACAATACCACACTCAAGCATTCCATATGACATTTTAGGTGAATTGTTCACATTAAAACTGTAAATGATTATAACCATATTAGTACCCTACCAACCACACTCAAGTAGGCCTTACTACTACCAGACCCTGTATATGTATGTGTGTGTATATATATATATTACACAAAGGATAAATATAACTTGCTCACTGCTCTATTTCCTGTATCCAAAAGAATCCCTGGTTCACAGTGTATGTTCGATACATGTTTATTGAATGAATAATTAATCATATATCTGAACTATTAGATAATTCTGGTTATTCTTCATTTTCACTTAATATTTTATAGAAATATATTAAATATTACACTTCTGATATATAACATAAGAAGTTCTATAGCTGATATATGAGTTAAAATTAGAATAACCCATTTATACCCCTTATACTTTTTCTTATGATTTTCATAACTCAACATTTAATATGTTAAATATAAATTTTAAGTAATTTGGCTTATTTTGGCAACATTTATATATACATCTTTGATAACATTTCTCCATCAGATGCTATTATTTATATATAGGACTGTTCTTATGAAATAGTATATTTTCTCCAGTTTTTAAAATTTCAAAGTCTCCTACAAATGATGATTTTGTTTTGATTTAGAAATAGCAAGTATTTACCTACATTTCTTTTATTAAGTGTTACAGAATAGGATAAAGTACCCATCCTTCTTTACATATAAATTTATTTCATTACAAAAACTAAGCTCTATTGCATTAAAAATAAATGTATTTTAAAATAATTTAGTGCATTAAAATTTGACTGCAGTGTTTGGGAAGGGAAGTTTCACACTGATTTTAACTCAAGAGTTACTCTTCATTAGGAGCCTGAACCTGAGCAGTAAAACTGGCATCCCTTGTAAAAGGGTAAAGATAAAGTATACAGTTAAGATACACAAAACAATACAGTTTTGTTAGGCGGTGTTAGTTTTATAAATATCAATGACATTTTAAGAACATAACAACTATGTGGCCAGAAACTTATTGTAGCCATATCCCCCAAAAGAATTTGTATTTTATAAGTATGTAATCTTGTAGTCACATTTTCTAACTGCACTATTAGAGCTAAAATTGAGTTCTCATTCTTTTGTGTCTCTTTAGTGTACATATTTTCCGTCTTACACTTTAAGTAGATTTCCATTACTGTAGGTTTCTCACTTAGTTTTAGAATGTTTGAATAAATTTGCTAATATGTGCTTACATGGTATTTTATCTATTATCCTTAAATGGATTTCTAGCAATTAATTTGACATTACGCTACCTTTTTTTCTTTATGAAAACATTTGGAGTGCTTTAAAGCTTAAACCATTATCTTTGGCTGGACGTCCAGGAGAACTTGGTTTCCTGCATCCTTTAGCATTGTATAACTGCATTTTTCAGATCTTTATATTGCTAATTCCTGATAAACAACCATTTTGTACCTGCAAGGTATTAACCAAAGCCATGAATTTGCCTTGTAATTATGCTTGTCATTTAAACAAAGTATCTATATTCCTATTTCATGCTAAACTTTTACAATAGACACTTTGACCTGAAAGTCAACATGGGATTTACAAGGATGCATAGGGGATAGGGCAACAGTGGAAGATTTTACAGCTCCAAACTGCTCATCATCCACCTAATTAATCTACTCAGGCCTAACCCATTTCCTATTTGTATATCAGGAGTGAGCCCCAATTCTTCTCCCACTTAAATTATCTCCAAATAATAAAAGAGTAACCTTAAATTTTCAATGGTTATATTTGGAGTACAGAACCAGATCAGAGACATCCTCAATAAAAATTGGACTCCAGTTTCATGGTGTTAATTAATCACTTGTTGAGTGGGAGAAATGGGGTTCCTTCATCCCTTAGTATCATATAAATGCATTTTCAAGATCACGACATTATAGTCATAATTCCTGATCAACAACCGTTTAGTAACTCTTTTTACACAGCAAGCTGAGGGTAGCCTTGGCGTTCCCTCTGAGTATAACCCTAAACAGCCTTTTGACCTTCAGTCTGTGATGCACTTCCATTTGTCACTGGGGCCAATATGGTGTGTAAATGGGTCGCATAGTTGGTAGCATTATCACTGGCTGAACTTTGGGTCGAGTCCAGAATGGAAATTTAATGGGTGGAGAGGCTGTGGCAGTACAGTGAAGTCAGGACGGCCAACTACAGGAAGCCAGGCTTCATAGCATCCTTCATGGAAGCTGACATACTTGCCCAAGCCTTGTTAGCCAAGAGTCAGTTCTGGAGGAAAAGGCCTGCAGGTAGCTTCCCAGGGCAGTTAACAGCTCCCGGGTACCCCCACCAGCTACTCTGACAAGACTCCTCCCTCAGCATTCAGCATCTTCTTCCCCTCCCTTTGAGGGTTTTTCCTGGCGCGCACACGCAGCCCACGCGACCAGCGCTGCAGAAGGCAGGCCCAACGTCCCCGCCCCCGCGTGCGCGTCCTCGCGCCCTCCCGTTGGCTCTTTCAGGCCACGGCGCGCCGCGGCTCCAATCGCCCCAACCTCTAGTACACCTCGACTGCCGCGAGCGGCTCCGGGGAGGGGAAGGCGCCGGGGAGGTAGGCGCTGCCGGCCGATGCGGCGGCGCGCACGCAGGCCTCGCCTCTCCCAGGCCTTCTTCACGCCGGCCGCTGGGCGGGCGCGCACGCCGAGTGACGCTCGGAGGAGGAAGCGCAGCCCACCTTCCCCTCCCTTGCCGCCCCGGGCCCAGCGGGAGCCCCCCAGTGCGCCTGTGCGGAGGCCTGCTTGATTATGTGTGCCCTCTCCGGGCTCCAGCGTTAGCCACCGGGTGGAGGTGGGGAGGGAAGACGTCGAGGAGGAGGAGGAGGCGGAGGAGGCGGTGGAGGGGAGGTGGGGGGAGTCAGCAAGGACATGGCTCCTGACTCCTGTGCGGAACGTGAGTGACTGAGCGGCAAAGCCCGAGTGAGCGAGCGGCCAAGTGGCGGGCTGGGGCCGAGGGCGCCGGGATGGAGCGGGACGCGGGTGGTTGGCTCTACGGGGGAAGCACTAACTGGCTTGCATGTGTTTTTTAATGGTCCCCCAACTCCCTCTTAGATGGTCTCTAGCGACCGGCCCGTGTCACTGGAGGACGAGGTCTCCCATAGTATGAAGGAGATGATTGGAGGCTGTTGCGTTTGCTCAGACGAGAGAGGCTGGGCCGAGAACCCGCTGGTTTATTGCGACGGGCACGGCTGCAGCGTCGCGGTGCATCAAGGTAAACACCCAACAGCCCGGCCGAACCCGGCCTGCTCCCAACCGTCACCGCTTCCCTCCACCTAGGCAGTAACTGCCAGTTCCCTCCCGCCCTTCCCCCCGCCCCGCCCTGTTCTGCGGCCCGGGATTGACTCCAAGGGTCCGCGGCGGGGAGCATGGGCTGTGTGGGCTGCGCAAGTGGGAGAAAGTGCGTGTGGCCTGGACTGTCATGTGATTCGGCGCTCACTCTCTCAAGTGTCATTTGGCCGCCGCCTGCGCCCGGAGCCGTGGGTCTGGAGACTTTCCGAGGCTGTGGTTGGGGGAGAGGGGGTGGCGGGGTATGGGGGGAAAGGGTGCGTGAAGCTGGGCGTGCTCCCCTCGATCATGATACCATGGCTGTGGCTGTGGTTGTGGGTGTGGGTTTGGGCACGTGGAGACCCCTCCCCCTTCATGCCCGCTCCGGTCTTGCCGCAGTGTGTCTGGGGACTTCCTGTGGCATGGAATCAGCCTCACAGCGCCACTCGCTGTTTTGGGGCGTGAGGGAGGGGGGACAAGGGGTTGCCTTGACGCTTTCGATTAGGGAGGGAGGCTTCTGCTGCTGCACCCCCAAGCTTTCTGGCGGAGCCTCTGCTGCTTCGGACTGGGAGCTTTCCTGCGAAGAAGACGGCCGAAGGTGGCCGCCGCAGGTGTGCTGCCGCAGGAGTGGCTGGGCCGAGCTGGCCTGGGCTGCTGCAAGAGGCTGTTCAGTGCCCTCAGCAGGCCACTTTCTCACTTAAGTGACTGAAGAGAAGAAGAGGTGGTGGTGCCACCAGTGACTTGGGGAACATCCTAGTTTATTTCTGGGTGTTTCCACTCGGTGAGTTTTTTGATAGACAAAAAGCCGAGGACACTAATAAGAGTTTTCTGGATATTGATGTTCTTGACCTTTCCCGTTTCATGTGGTAAGGAATTGAGGCTGAAACAACCTAAATAATTTTTGGGTGGTTCTTGTTTTCTCTGTTCTTCAACCCGCCCCATTCCCATTTCTGAATCTGGCATTAAGTGATGAACGTCTGAGGCTAAAGTGCGTTCTTTAGAATGGAATCTCAGAATTGGGAAGGGAGACTTGAGAGGTCGTTTTCTTTTAGAAAACAAAGTTGCGCAGCTTCCTTTTTTTAGGAGTGAAAACACATTTTAAGATCTTAGAAAACTTCTATACATAGTATTTGCATTCGAGTATTCATTGGCATTTCTGTAGGTATTTCTTATGAATTGGATGGTAAATTATCATTTTGATAAATCTCCAAATATAGAAAATATTCATTTGCCTTAAAATTTTTTGAAGTTAATATTTTTTTCTCTACAAGTACTTTTGAATTAAAATATTTTGGACACTCATGCAGTGTTTCTTGGCTGATAGAAAGTTTTTTACTCTGTCACATTTACAGTTTTTAAAAGGGATTGGAAGTTTAGCTTTTGGAGATTTAAAATTTTGCGCTGAATTTATATTCTTTTAAATGCTTCCAATATTTAAGTTATTTTCAAATTTCCTTTGAATGCGTTCATCCAAGAATGTCAGGTGCCTATTAGTGCTTTTAGGGTTTTGGGGAAATTTCAATTTTGAGTTAATTAAATATTAATATAAAAACTTTTAAAAACAACTGGACTTACATATGTGATATATAATCATATTACTTGTAGGAACATTCACATATATTTAGAAATAGGCACCTTTGAAAATAACAGCTTTATTGAGATATGATTCACATACCATACAATTCACCATTTTAAAGTGTGCAATTCATGGGTTTTTAGTATATTCAGAGTTTTGCATCCATTACTTGAAAGTAACTCTTGAAAGTTACATTGAAATCAAGAAACTTTGTATACCCCATTTCTATTTATTTCTCCAGGCAACTACTAATCTAATTTCTGTCTCTATAGATTTGCCTATTCTAGAAGCATTTAACTTCTACATTTCATTTTCTTTTCTGCAATATCTGTTGCAGAAAGGATATTTGGAAATATTAGACTTATCTAAAATGCGTGCTATTTAAACTGCTGGATATAGGAATGAATGAATTTCTGAGTTAGTCTATGTAAAAATCTAATCATGTGTTAAATTTTACCTAATATTCCATTATAAAAAAATAAATAAGTTATAATGTATTTCATTTACTTATATAATTGGTTCAATTTATTTTATTTATGTAATATATATTTAAATGAAATAACAAGATTGTCATTTTAACATTTTTTAATACATCATCCAATTTCAACTAGGTAATATATGTGATGAATGTAAATATAAAATATTTTAATTTTCTGTAAAGCAGGTGGTTTACATGAATAGTTTGAGGTAATTAATAGGGTTTTGAAAGGGTACTTGATTTTCCATAATTCTTTAATTATAATATGTTTTAAAATATTTTATTTCCCAACAGCTTGCTATGGCATTGTTCAAGTACCTACTGGACCATGGTTTTGCAGGAAATGTGAATCTCAGGAGAGAGCAGCCAGAGTGGTAAGGACTGTTTATCAAAAACATTAAAATACTTCACTGAGTAGCTTAGGGTGCTACAAACTCATGTTTCAGTTTGAAGGGTTGTCAGTCTTTTGTTCAAATACTGAATTTGGGCCAAACACTGACTTGGAGTTTTAAACCTCTTTTTATAAAATCTGAAAAAGAAATTGAACAACATAAGTATATGTTGATGGATACTTTGACCAGATAAATTACAAAGTTGTATTTGGACTTATTAGCCTCATCTGCTGGTTTGAGGGTTACATTGGCTAATCATAAATATATTTTAAAGATTTTATGTATTTATTTTCAGAGGAAAGGGAAGGGAGGGAAAAAGAGAGGGAAATGTCGATGTGCAAGAGGTACATTAATTGGTTGTCTCTCATGCCCCCAGCTGGGGACCTGGGCCTCAGCCCAGGCATGTGCCCTGACAGGGAATTGAACCAGCAACCTCTTTGTTCGCAGGCCAGCACTCAGTCCACTGAGCCACACCAGCCAGAGCTGCTAACCATATTTTTAACTTATGTCCTTCCATAGTAACGCATAAAGAAGTTACAGTCCTGCCAAGTTCTGTTTAATTAAACAAACAAATGAGAATTTAACGATTTATATTCTTTTTACTATAGCTGCATATGTAACTTTGAATGCTTAACATTTTCAGACATTCAGTCCTTTTGTCAAAGCAACATAAAGATCTTCTTCTTTTACTTGGCGGACTAACTGTTTTCTGAACACTTTTGTAAACTTCCTGTAAGAATGAGGGAGGTATGTTTATTATTTATGGCCAGAAGCATTTTTTTCCCCAGTTGAACTTCTGGATCTATCAAGGAGAAATAGATTTAATCTTCATTAATCATATAACAGCATTACCATTTGCAATGTTATAGTTCCTTATTTTTGGTGTTGACTAGAAAATTTGACAAAGGGTTGAAAAACAAATTTCAACTTTTCTATGTATGTAGTAAAATTGGAATCTTTTGTTTTTGCCTGGGTAAATGTCTGAGTAGCCTATCTAGAACTGTGAGATTCAGAGCAATATTCTGTTGATAGGTTTTGTGTGTGGAAATGCCTTGTAGCAGAATTACGCCTTTTGTTCTAATGCTACCATACTGGGAATTAACTAATGGAGGATAAAATCAATCATAAAATTTCTAGGACTTGATGAGGTAGCATCGATCTAGTCTTCATTTTTTTGCCTCTTTGTACAATAGCATGTTACAATTTGGGGTTGATGGGTCACCAAGGAAAAGAAGTTAAGCTTTAATTCATTAGTAAACATTGACAGTTAAGGTGAGACTCTTTGGGGAGTGTCACAATAGTTCAGGGCCAGAGAAAGATTAGAAAATATGAAAGGTGGGTATAAATAGAGGGAGGATAAGGATGTTGTGAATGGAAGTGGTAGAATGCCAGCATCATTTGCCTCAAATGCTACCTGTTGCCTGTTTTTATTCCTTTATCCTTTCTGAGGGTGTGGTCAAGATATTAAGGTGAATAAGGTAGGTATCCTAAAAAGTAGATTGGAGAATGCATTTTATTTCAGGTTTATTTGGTGGAATGTGGGGGCAATTAAAGGTTTAAAGAAGAGGCACAACCTTCTCTAAATTTCTGTAGTTTACAGTTATAAAAATTAGGGTACTTTGTAAGAAATAAAAACTTAATTCCAAGCTAAAATAAGCAAAGAAAAGGCATTTTATTGTAAGTATAAAGGAGCTAAGAACCAGAACATGGAAATGTATGCATGACTTAGGGTATTGAATTAGTCTTAATCTTATTTCTGCTTTTCTGTGTATCTGCTTCATTCTTTTCTTTTTGCATATTTTCTCTGCTACTTACTGCAACAACCAGTAAACTTTTTTTTTGACTGTTTACTATCTGTCAGATACTGTGCTAAATGTTCTGTACTATTTACCTCCTTTAATCATCCTATCAAATCTGTGAGGTAGATACTCTGTTACTCTCATTTTATGGATAAGGACATAATAGTTTTTTTTTTAAATCCTTACCTGAGGATATGTTTATTGATTTTAGAGAGAGAGAGAGGGTTGCGGGGGTGGAGAGAAACATTGATCATTGATTGGTTGGTTGTCTCCTGTGTGTCCCCTGACCAGGAATCAAGCTTACAACCTCTTGGTGTACAGGCGATGCTTCAACCAAGTGAGCCACCAGCCAGGGCAGATCATAATTTTAAGGCAATATCTATCTAGTTGGAGTCTGGGCTGTGAATAATCTCTCAACTACATGTTATTTGTTGCCTCCTGTGGTGAAAGATGGACATACTTCAGCTCCTAATATTTTGTACCTCCTATATCAAAAGGTTAAAACTTAGTCTGAATCTCATGCTGCTATGGGGGAAAAAAAGACTTCCGGCTTGCCTTGGATGAGGTGCCTAGGTCACCAGTTGGCCAAGGCTAGACTATATGGTTGAGTTGTTCAGACATAGTTGGGGAGATCTCTGTGGTTTTGGGATAGCTCACTTCTCAAAGAAGGCAGACTTTAGAGCTGGTGTTACCCTGACAGATACTAAAGAGTAAAAACCCAGGAGAATGAAACAGCATTTTTAGACAAGTACTTTGGTGTAGTATATGGGGTATATAGATTTGAAAGGGCAGGTTGGAAATCTGGAAGGCTTAGGATACTATTAGTACACAAGATGGGAGAGTGAAAAGGGAGGGAGTAGCAAGGAAGGGAGGGAGCATTTTGAAGGATGAAAAAAATGGATGTTGGATAAAGGAAAGGGAATAATCAAAGATTTTGAAATGTCAAGGTTGATTGTTCTGGAAAGGTGATACCGTTAATAGTAATAGAGTATAAAATAACAGTAATAAGAGGAAGGAGAGGAAAATTGAAGAGTTAGAAAATTTCTGTTTTGGGCACATTGGTTTTGATGCTGTTAGGATTTTTCGTTAAAAACTTATAATTAAAATAATGGAGTCAAGTTAAGTTGGAGCTACATAAGAGCAACGCTGGGAATTGAGTGATACATATTTTTTTAATACTCATCCAAGGATATGTTTATTGATTTTAGAGGGAGAAGTGGGGGTGGAAAGAAAAGGAGACATCCATGTGAGAGGGAAATATCGATGTGAGAAACATCGATTGGTTGCCTCTCATATGCGCCCCAACCAGGGGTCGAACCCGCAACCTAGGTATGTGCCCTGACTGGGAATCGAACCACAACCTTTTGTTGTGTGGGTGATGCTCTGACCATCTGAGCCACCCAGCCAGGGCTGAGTGATACTTTTTTGTTAGAGGAAAGGAAAGTGAAGACAAAACTGTGGTGAATACTGACATTTGGGAAACTAAGAGAACAGGATATCAAGAATGGATAATGAACTGTCAGGAAGAGAGAACCTGCAGGTACAGTAAGTAGCAACACAAACAATTGGTTTTTCAGGAAAGAATAGTTGATAGTGACATTGCTGCAAAGGATGCTGGGCTAAGAAAAATTCTTGGGACCGCAATTATATTTCCCTGGTGTGGGCAGAATGTTTGTTATAGGACAGTGAAGAGAGTAGGATTGTAGGATTAGATTCAATTTTGAAAAAATAAGGAAAGAAGAAAAAAGTAGGGATTGAGGGAAAGTTTGGTTGGTTTTTAAGGGGAGCTCTTTGTAGATGGGCATTCATTCAAAACACTTCAATTGCTTTATTCATCGCAAGTATGAATTTTTTTTGTTGAAAATTTATGTTTAGACTTACACTATTTACTGATCATTATCAGTGGTTAGAGGTTAAAATACTTACGGATGACTGTTTTTGTATTTAATGTGTGTTCTCAATTACCACAAGCTGAAGAGATTAGAAATTTTATCTATTGATATAATTTCAGTGAGATACAGAGAGGATATTTTATATTTTAAATATTCTATTTTGAATATTTGTATATTTGGATTGTGCAAAAAATAAAAAATAAAATGGCCAAAAGCCTATTAAGAATTTGCATTAATTAAATATTGCTATTTTAGTTCTGAATGAAAGACGATTCCTTTCCTAAAGGAGGTGAGCTGTAAATTTTTCCTGTGGCTTGTCCTATTGCATTTCTTCCTGTTTTCTTACTTTGTTAAGGATAAGCTGCTGGATGGAATCAAAAGCAAGGTTTTAGGGATTGATCCAGCGTTGTACTATTTTATTAAAACAGTTTTTTTTATTTATTGCCTTTAGAGAGAGGGAGAGAGAAAGAAGCATCAATTTGTTTTTTCACTTTTTATTAATGCATTCATTGGTTGATTCTTACATGCGCTGTGACTGGGGATTCAACCCACAACTTTGGCATGTCAGGACAATGGTCTAACCAACTGAGCTACCTGGCCAGGACACTATTTTATTTTTAAAATTTTGCTTAATGAAGATACATAATGCAAGCAAATCACTAATAATCTATAAAACCATGTGAATTATATACTCAACTATATTATGTTTAGTTCCAATAAAGCTATATTAATATATATTAAGCACAAATTGGTCTGAAAAACATAGAACATAAAATGAATACATATATAGTCCCCACCCAGAATGAACAAATGTTACTTTAAAAAAATTATTTATTTATTTATTTATGAGAGAGGAAAGGAGGGAGAAAGAGAAGGGAGAGAAACACCAAAGTGTGGTTGCCTCTCAAGTGCCCCTGCTGGGGACATGGCCCACAACCCAGGTATGTTCCCTGACTGGGAACCGAACCAGTAACCCTTTGGTTCACAGGCAGGCACTTAATCCACTGGGCCACACCAGCTAGGGCCAAATTTTAGTTTTTCATATTTGCTTCAAATCGTCCCTTCTACTTAAAAGGAATAATACATTAAAAGATTAAGTTGAAGTACTTCGGTACTTTCAATCTGAGTCCACCATTATCTTTTAGTGTCTGTTAGGTGCTTCTGTATATTTTTTCTCCCCAGTTTTGCTGAGATATAATTGGCATATAACATTTTTGGTTTAAGATGTACAACATAATGAAATATGTATATATTGCTAAGTAACTACCACAGTAAGTTTAGTTAACATTTA